TACTATTATTTTTATTATGATTACTATTATTATTACTATTATTATTATGTCGTCATCATTGCTGATTCGTGTGTTTTTTTCCTTTTTTGTGGCCACTTTTGTGTTCTCTTCGTGTTGCTGTTGTTGCCGTTGCTAGTGCTGCTATTGTTGTTAAGTGTCAGTTCGCTTTTAGATTCAACCATTACACGAATGCTGTAACGTTAATGAGAAAATAAACCCTTTCTCTTACAATTTTTTTTCTAACACTCTGGAAGTTGCAAATCAAAAGCCCGTATTGTCGTGAGGTTTCGTGATGTTTTACAATTCCAACTTTGTAACAAACAGAATTTCGCTTTACGTTTTCAAATCACATAATTTTACAGGGGTTTTTTTTTATGTCCGTTACTTTATGAACAAATGAAAGAATCTTTGTCCTTCTCCAACACGCCTGTTATTTCTCTTTCTCAGAGAGGCGTAGAGACATTAATTGAACGTTGCCACCACAGAAAATTATTAAATAATATTTACGTGAAAAATTTAAACGCCGAAAGTATATCCCTCTAAGATAATAAAGTATTATCTTGTCGTATCTTATCTTACCTTATCTTATCTTATACTTTTGAAAGTCAATTTTCATGTACACATGTGTCCAGTAACTTTGTTTTTGCTTTTGTTGTTGTTGTTGTTGTTGTTGTTGTTGTTGTTGTTGTTGTTGTTGTTGTTGTCTATCTGTGAAAACACCTATAAGAATTCCCCTTTACAAAAGACGATGCTAACTAATTTGCGAGGGGAGGAGAGGGTGTGCACATATTTTTTCCCGTTCATTTCTTGCCGTTAATGGGTTTTTTGTAACTTATACTTATAACGTTGTGAAAAATAGCCAGATCTAAAGAAAGAATGAATTATTATCTTTCATCAAAAAGTCCAAAAGAAAACATTAGTATCTTAACCAGTGCCATAACACTCAAGGAGCGAGAACATTTTTCATTGCGAATGAAAAAAAAACAACAAAAAAAACATGGCGAATATGTCACCAGACACGGTACGTTTCATGTCTTTAACAACCTTGAAAAAAAATTCAAGGTGTTCTGTGAACTAGATGAATACCCACCAGCGACCTGCTTGCAAAGACAACATTTTAAGCTTAGAAAAGAATTCATTTTCCGTTTTAAAGATTTTAAAGAGCATGAGAAGCAAACTGCTTAAAGTGACACCGCATTCACAAGAATAAATCAGGAGATCTGAGTCACTTGTTTTGCCCACTTTCCACTTGTCGCCAGACATTCAAGTGCAGATTTGTCAAGAATTCAAGGGCAAGGTTGAGGCCTACGAAATCACATGACCAACAGCAGCAGCAGCTTGCCGCACACGTGTGCCACGGTCCGGTCGCCTTGTCCACCCTTCGACACTTTTCACATCCTGGAGTTATACAGCACTCCAAAGATATTATAACTCTCTCTCTCTCTCTC